TTCTGTAAGATAAATAGCTGAGCATCTGTCTGTATGATAAATCGCTCAGTGTGTTTCTGTAAGATAAATAGCTGAGGATGTTTCTGTAAGATAACTATCTGAGTGTGTTTCTGTAAGATACATAGCTCAGTGTGTTTCTGTAAGATAAATATCTAAGTGTGTTTCTGTAAGATAAATAGCTGAATATGTTTATGTATAATAAATAGCTGAGTGTGTTTATGTAAGATGAATAGCTGAGTGTCTTTTTGTATGATAAATAGCTGATTGTGTGTTTCTGTATGATAAAAAGGTGAGTGTGTTGATGTATGATAAATAACTGAGCACGGTTGTGTATGATAAATAGCTGAGTTTGATTCTGTGTGATAAATAACTGAGTATGTTTCTGTATGATAAATAGCTGAGCATGTCTCTGTAAGATACGTAGTTGATTGTGTGTATGTATGATACATAGCTGAGTGTGATTCTGTGTGATAAATAACTGAGTGTGTTTATGTAAGATAAATAGCTGAGTGTGTTTATGGATGATAAATAGCTGAGTATGTGTCTCTATGATAAATAGTTGAGCATGTTTCTGTAAGATAAATAGCTGATTATGTTTCTGTATGATAAATAGCTGAGTGTGATTCTGTGTGATAAATAACTGAGTGTGTTTATGTATTGTAAATAGTTGAGTATGTGTCTGTGTGATAAATAGCTGAGTATGTATCTGTGTGATAAATAGCTGAGTGTGTTTCTGTAAGATAAATAGCTGAGTAAGTTTCTCTATGTTAAGTAGCTGAGCATGTTTCTGTATGAAAAATATCTGAGTGTGTTTCTGTAAGATAAATAGCTGAGTGTGTTTCTGTATGATATATATCTGAGTGACTTTCTGTAAGATGAATAGCTGAATATATGTCTGTAACATAAATAGCTGAGTATGTTTGTGTGTGATAAATAGCTGAGTGTGTTTCTGTAACATAAATAGCTGAGTGTGTTTCTGTGTGATAAATAGCTGAGTGTGTTTCTGTAAGATAAATAGCTGAGTGTTTCTGTATGATAAATAGCTGAGTGTGTTTCTGTGTGATAAATAGCTGAGTATGTGTCTGTAACATAAATTGCTGAGTGTGTTTCTGTATGATAAATAGCTGAGTGTGTTTCTGTGTGATAAATAGCTGAGTGTGTTTCTGTATGATAAATAGCTGAATATGTTTCTGTATGATAAATAGCTGAGGGTGTTTATGTAAGATAAATAGCTGAGGCTGTTTCTGTAAGATAAATAGTTGAGTATGTTTTTGTATGATAAATAGCTCAGTGTGTTTCTGTAAGATAAATAGTTGAGTATGTGTCTGTAAGATAAATAACTGATTATGTCTGTAAGATAAATGGCTGAGTATGTGTCTGTGTGATAAATTGCTGAGTATGTGTCTGTAAGATAAATAGCTGAGTATGTTTCTGTAAGATAAATAACTAAGTATGTTTCTGTAAGATGAATAGTTGAGTATGTGTCTGTGTGATAAATAACTGAGTATGTGTCTGTAAGATAAATAGCTGAGTATGTGTCTTTGTTATAAATAACTGAGTATGTGTCTGTGTGATAAATAGCTGAGTATGTGTCTGTAAGATAAATAGCTGAGTGTGTTTCTGTATGATAAATAACTGAGTATGTATCTGTAAGATAAATAGCTGAGTGTGTTTCTGTAAGATAAACAGCTGAGTATGTATCTCTAAGATAAATAGCTGAGTGTGTTTCTGTAAGATAAATAGCTGAGGCTGTTTCTGTAAGATAAATAGTTGAGTATGTTTCTGTATGATAAATAGCTCAGTGTGTTTCTGTAAGGTAAATAGTTGAGTACATGTATGTGTCTGTAAGATAAATGACTGAGTATGTCTGTAAGATAAATACCTGAGTATGTGTCTGTGTGATAAATAGCTGAGTATGTGTCTGTAAGATAAATAGCTGAGTATGTTTCTGTAAGATAAATAACTGAGTATGTTTCTGTAAGATAAATAGTTGAGTATGTGTCTGTGTGATAAATAACTGAGTATGTGTCTGTAAGGTAAATAGCTGAGTATGTGTCTTTGTTATAAATAAATGAGTATGTGTCTGTGTGATAAATAGCTGAGTATGTTTCTGTAAGATAAATAACTGAGTATGTTTATGTAAGATAAATAGTTGAGTATGTGTCTGTATGATAAATATCTGAGTATGTTTCTGTACGATAAATAGCTGAGGGTGCTTATGTAAGATAAATAGCTGAGGCTGTTTCTGTAAGATAAATAGTTGAGTATGTTTCTGTATGATAAATAGCTCAGTGTGTTTCTGTAAGATAAATAGTTGAGTGTGTGTCTGTAAGATAAATGACTGAGTATGTCTGTAAGATAAATAGCTGAGTATGTGTCTGTGTGATAAATAGCTGAGTATGTGTCTGTATGATAAATAGCTGAGTATGTTTCTGTAAGATAAATAACTGAGTATGTTTCTGTAAGATAAATAGTTGAGTATGTGTCTGTGTGATAAATAACTGAGTGTGTGTCTATAAGATAAATAGCTGAGTATGTGTCTTTGTTATAAATAACTGAGTATGTGTCTGTGTGATAAATAGCTGAGTATGTGTCTGTAAGATAAATAGTTGAGTATGTGTCTGTGTGATAAATAGCTTAGTATGTTTCTGTAAGATAAATAGCTGAGTATGTTTCTGTAAGATAAATAGCTGAGTGTGTTTCTGTATGATAAATAACTGAGTATGTGTCTGTAAGATAAATAGCTGAGTATGTTTCTGTAAGATAAATAGCTGAGTATGTTTCTGTATGATAAATAACTGAGTATGTGTCTGTATGATAAATAGCTGAGTGTGTGTCTGTAAGATAAATAGCTGAGTATGTGTCTTTGTTATAAATAGCTGAGTATGTGTCTGTATGATAAATAGCTGAGTATGTTTCTGTAAGATAAATAACTGAGTATGTTTCTGTAAGATAAATAGTTGAGTATGTGTCTGTGTGATAAATAACTGAGTGTGTGTCTGTAAGATAAATAGCTGAGTATGTGTCTTTGTTATAAATAACTGAGTATGTGTCTGTGTGATAAATAGCTGAGTATGTGTCTCTAAGATAAATAGTTGAGTATGTGTCTGTGTGATAAATAGCTTAGTATGTTTCTGTAAGATAAATAGCTGAGTATGTTTCTGTAAGATAAATAGCTGAGTGTGTTTCTGTATGATAAATAACTGAGTATGTGTCTGTAAGATAAATAGCTGAGTATGTTTATGTAAGATAAATAGCTGAGTATGTTTCTGTATGATAAATAACTGAGTATGTGTCTGTATGATAAATAGCTGAGTGTGTGTCTGTAAGATAAATAGCTGAGTATGTGTCTTTGTTATAAATAAATGAGTATGTGTCTGTTTGATAAATAGCTGAGTATGTTTCTGTAAGATAAATAACTGAGTATGTTTCTGTAAGATAAATAGTTGAGTATGTGTCTGTGTGATAAATAACTGAGTGTTTGTCTGTAAGATAAATAGCTGAGTATGTGTCTTTGTTATAAATAACTGAGTATGTGTCTGTGTGATAAATAGCTGAGTGTGTGTCTGTAAGAAAAATAGTTGAGTATGTGTCTGTGTGATAAATAGCTTAGTATGTTTCTGTAAGATAAATAGCTGAGTATGTTTCTGTAAGATAAATAGCTGAGTGTGTTTCTGTATGATAAATAGTTGAGTATGTGTCTGTGTGATAAATAACTGAGTGTGTGTCTATAAGATAAATAGCTGAGTATGTGTCTTTGTTATAAATAACTGAGTATGTGTCTGTGTGATAAATAGCTGAGTATGTGTCTGTAAGATAAATAGTTGAGTATGTGTCTGTGTGATAAATAGCTTAGTATGTTTCTGTAAGATAAATAGCTGAGTATGTTTCTGTAAGATAAATAGCTGAGTGTGTTTCTGTATGATAAATAACTGAGTATGTGTCTGTAAGATAAATAGCTGAGTATGTTTCTGTAAGATAAATAGCTGAGTATGTTTCTGTATGATAAATAACTGAGTATGTGTCTGTATGATAAATAGCTGAGTGTGTGTCTGTAAGATAAATAGCTGAGTATGTGTCTTTGTTATAAATAGCTGAGTATGTGTCTGTATGATAAATAGCTGAGTATGTTTCTGTAAGATAAATAACTGAGTATGTTTCTGTAAGATAAATAGTTGAGTATGTGTCTGTGTGATAAATAACTGAGTGTGTGTCTGTAAGATAAATAGCTGAGTATGTGTCTTTGTTATAAATAACTGAGTATGTGTCTGTGTGATAAATAGCTGAGTATGTGTCTCTAAGATAAATAGTTGAGTATGTGTCTGTGTGATAAATAGCTTAGTATGTTTCTGTAAGATAAATAGCTGAGTATGTTTCTTTAAGATAAATAGCTGAGTGTGTTTCTGTATGATAAATAACTGAGTATGTGTCTGTAAGATAAATAGCTGAGTATGTTTATGTAAGATAAATAGCTGAGTATGTTTCTGTATGATAAATAACTGAGTATGTGTCTGTATGATAAATAGCTGAGTGTGTGTCTGTAAGATAAATAGCTGAGTATGTGTCTTTGTTATAAATAAATGAGTATGTGTCTGTTTGATAAATAGCTGAGTATGTTTCTGTAAGATAAATAACTGAGTATGTTTCTGTAAGATAAATAGTTGAGTATGTGTCTGTGTGATAAATAACTGAGTGTTTGTCTGTAAGATAAATAGCTGAGTATGTGTCTTTGTTATAAATAACTGAGTATGTGTCTGTGTGATAAATAGCTGAGTATGTGTCTGTAAGAAAAATAGTTGAGTATGTGTCTGTGTGATAAATAGCTTAGTATGTTTCTGTAAGATAAATAGCTGAGTATGTTTCTGTAAGATAAATAGCTGAGTGTGTTTCTGTATGATAAATAACTGAGTATGTGTCTGTAAGATAAATAGCTGAGTATGTTTCTGTATGATAAATAACTGAGTATGTGTCTGTATGATAAATAGCTGAGTGTGTTTCAGCAATGAAGATACTGGGAGTTATCGTCATCTACATGTGCCTTGCCTACGGTGCCTTTTTGTACAAAAAATTCAGTTGGAGACCATATATTGTTGCCATGGATACCAGACAAGCCAGAATCATGGATAGTCAAGTCCAGAACGAAAACAAATCATCAACGGTTCCAAAATCAGCAACCACTATGATTCCCGGCGGTAAGACACAATCAGCAGTCAGTCACTCACACACGTCAATAGCAGCAAGTAACGGAATGAAACACGGGGTTAAACCAGGGGAGAAAACATGGAAAGAGATGCCAATTCTCACGCCTCAGTTTATTGGTCGCCTTGGCAACGCTATGTTTGAATACGCCTCCACGTACGCCCTCGCGAGAGCGACGAATAAGTCTCTGTACATTGCCAGGAGCCACGCCCTCAACCGCCTGTTTCCCCTGGACTCGGAGACCGTGACGTTTCAGGGGTGTGGCGGGTGGCAGCCGGTCTCCGCCCCCTGCTGTCTCTACGACCCACAGCTGGCGGCAAGGCTCGACAGCAGGACTTGTCAAAGTGTCGGCGGCTTCCTCCAGTCGTGGAAGTTTTTTCACCCTGTCGAGGAGAGCATACGAAGACAGTTCACCTTCAAAACTTCCATTGCTGACAAGGCTGCTAAGAAATTGTTCTCTGTGAGACTCGAGTTCTTTACAAGGATGAAGGATGCTTCACGGATGACCACAAAACTGTCAAACGCTACAGAAGACTTGAAACAAGATGGACACAGGATTTTAAATGTGTCGACCACTCCGCCCGTGAACCTGACCTATATTGGGGTGCATGTGAGACGAGGGGACTATATAGCGTCACTCAGTAAACGCCAGGGACGTACCACTCCACCAGCGGAGTACTACATCCATGCGATGAACTATTTCCGAGCTATATACCCCAATGCTTTGTTCGTTGTTGGGGGAGATGACGGAAGTTGGGTGAATCGTAATATCGCCGCCGTTGATGTCGTTGTGCTGCAGAGGGAGTTGCCGGAAGTGGACCTTTGTGTTTTGAGCATGTGCAATCATACTATCATGAGTGTCGGGAGTTTTGGTTGGTGGGCAGGTTTCCTGGCAGGGGGGACAACTGTGTATTATGACCGTCCGTTCAGAAACAACACGTCTATGTCCAAATGGTATGCTAAATATAATTCCGAATTTGCGTACCCGGGATGGATAGCTATGATTTGAAGTGATGGTTTGTGACTGATAGAAGGCAGCCCTTGTTTCTCCTTTCTCTCAGGACAAGACATCTTTGTGGCGCTTCTCGATAACTGAAGACTCATGAAGATCCGGGATAGAATAGGTCAGCGACTATGCTTGTCTTAAGAGGCGACTAACGGGATCGGGTGGTCAGGCTCGCTGACTTGGTTCATGCATGTCATTATATCCCAGTTGCGTGTATCGATGTTCATGATATCAATCACTGGATTGTCTGGTCTTGACTCAAATTATTTATAATCGTCATATTCTGTCATATAGCTGAAATATTGCTGAGTGCGGCGTTAAACAACAACAAAAAACACACGCACACACGCGCACACACACGCACACACACACGCGATAATTGAGAACAGAAGTCACAGGAGTATTGCCCAGTGCCCAACCACACGTGTGCCTTAGCCCTACAAATGCAATTCCTGAAGACCTTTCGTGCAATAGTTGAACACCTGTGTAATCCCCGAGACAAGGGTTATGCTCAACATAACGCCTGTATCCAAGTTGGTGAAGTTCGAGGACACTTGTCTACTGAAACATTCAGTGCAATAGTTGAACACCTTTGTAATCCCCGAGACAAGGGTAATGGTCAACAAAACGCCTGTATCCAAGTTGGTGAAGTTCGAGGACACATGTCTACTGAAACATTCAGTGCAATAGTTGAACACCTGTGTAGTGTTCAAGAGATGCAAACCTAAAGACCAAGTTGAAGGCGTATTTCCAATGGAAGTGTGGTTCTCTAAGATAATAATGAGTGAGTGAGTTGGGTTTTACGCCGCTTGGTCCTGCAGTATTGGACGTGTGGGCAAATGTTGAACAAACGTGCATTGACTATTTGGTGCAAATGTTGAACAAACGCGCATTGACTATTTGGTGCAAATGTTGAACAATCAGGCATTGACTATTTTGTACAAATGTTGAACAATCAGGCATTGACTATTTTGTGCAAATGTTGAACAAACGTGCATTGACCAGTTGGTGCAAGTGTTGAACAAACATGCATTGGTCTATTTTGTGCAAATGTTGAACTAACGTGCATTGACCAGTTGGTGCAAGTGTTGAACTAACATGCATTGACCAGATGGTGCAAAAGTTGAACAAACGTGCATTGACCAGTTGGTGCAAGTGTTGAACTAACATGCATTGACCAGTTGGTGCAAGTGTTGAACAAACATGCACTGACCAGTTGGTGCAAGTGTTGAACTAACATGCATTGACTATTTTGGCGCTAATGCTGAACTAACATGCATTGACTGTTTTGTGCAAATTTTGAAAAAACATGCATTGACTATTTTGTGCAAATGTTGAACAATCAGGCATTGACTTTTTTGTACGACCGTTGTTATACTTCTCAAACGAGGCTTCTACAGTGGCATGCAGTTACCTCCCTTGTTGTTTTCTTCGTGACTCATGTGGATTATGGCTGTGTTTGATTGAACGACTAAAAGATATGTTGCGACAAATGCATTTTTAATTTTTAAAATTTATGTTGTGTCTTGTTGAGACGCCAAAGATATACACATTTAGATGTGTAGTTAGCTTTACAGCACACTTCTTATGTGTATCCAGTTCCGCAGCATCCTAGTCAATAATTACATATAGTAATATAGCCAAAAATCATATACTCTAAAAAAAAGAAACGCGATACGGATATTTTTGACCATAAAAGCGGACCAAGGGTGCAAAATGAAGATGTTTAGTGTGTTCTAGTGTCAGTGACAAATTTCCAGGATCAAAATGATAACAACAAGGACATGCAAACCATTAGTCGAGAAACACGTACGATTCGGAAAAACGCACCCAGTGCATAAACAAACGGGCCACGGAGCTGCGGGCACTGAAAATGTATTTTCCTATCTCACATAAATCTGGCTTTGCGCTTCCATTTTTTGAAGAGCATTCTTGTACAGAACATGGTGGTACAGAGCATGGCGGTAAAGAGCATGGCGGTACAGAACATGGCGGTACAGAACAGCGATACAGAACATGGTGGTACAGAACATAGCAATACAGAGCATGGCGGTACAGAGCATGACGGTACAGAACATAGAGGTACAGAACATAGAGGTACAGAACATGGCGGTACAGAACATGGTGGTACAGAACAGCGATACAGAACATGGCGGTACAGAGCATGGCGGTACAGAGCATGTTAGCACAGAGCATGGTGGTACAGAACATGGCGGTACAGAAATATGGCGGTAGAGAACATGGCAGTACACAACATGGCGGTACAGAACATAGCGATACAGAACATGGTGATACAGAACATAGCGGTACAGAACATGGTGGTACAGAACATGGTGGTACAGAGCATGGTGGTACAGAACATGGCGGTACAGAAATATGGCTGTAGAGAACATGGCAGTACAGAGCATGGTGGTACAGAACATAGTGGTACAGAACATGTCGGTACAGAACATGGCGGTACAGAGCATGGTATTACAGAGCATGGTGGTAGAGAACATGGCGGTACAGAAATATGGCGGTAGAGAACATGGCGGTACAGAACATGGCGGTACAGAACATGGTGGTATAGAACATGGCGGTACAGGACATGGTGGTACAAAACATGATGGTATAGAACATGGTGGTACAGAACATGGTGGTTTAGAACATGGCGGTACAGAGCATGGCAGTACAGAACATGGCGGTACAGAACATGGCGGTACAGAATATGGCGGTACAGAACATGGCGGTACAGAACATGGTTGTACAGAACATGGCGATACAGAACATGGCGATACAGAACATAGCCATACAGAACATGGCGGTACAGAACATGGCGGTACAGAACATGGCGATACAGAAGATGGTGATACAGAACATAGGGATACAGAACATGGCGGTACAGAACATGGTGATACAGAATATGGTGATACAGAACATAGTGATACAGAACATAGCGGTACAGAACATGGCGGTACAGAACATGGCGGTAAAGAACATGGCGGTACAGAACATGGTGGTACATAACATGGTCATATAGAATATGGTGGTACAGAACATAGTGATACAGAACATGGGGGTACAGAACATGGTCATATAGAATATGGTGGTACAGAACATGGTGGTACAGAACATGGCGGTACATAACATGGTCATATAGAATATGGTGGTACAGAACATGGTGGTACAGAACATAGTGATACAGAACATGGGGGTACAGAACATGGTCATATAGAATATGGTGGTACAGAACATGGTGGTACATAACATGGTGATACAGAACATGGTGGTACAAAAAGTGGTGATATAGAACATGGCGATATAGAATTTGGCGGTACAGAACATAGTGATACAGAATATGGTGATACAGAACATAGTGATACAGAACATGGCGGTAAAGAACATGGCGGTACAGAACATGGTGGTACATAACATGGTCATATAGAATATGGTGGTACAGAACATGGGGGTACAGAACATGGCAGCACAGAAATATGGCGATACAGAACATAGCGATACAGAACATAGCCATACAGAACATGGCTGTACAGAACATGGCGGTACAGAACATGGCGGTACAGAACATGGCGATACAGAAGATGGTGATACAGAACATAGTGATACAGAACATGGCGGTACAGAACATAGTGATACAGAACATGGCGATAAAGAACATGGCGGTACAGAACATGGTGGTATATAACATGGTCATATAGAATATGGTGGTACAGAACATGGTGGTACAGAACATAGTGATACAGAACATGGGGGTTCAGAACATGGTCATATAGAATATGGTGGTACAGAACATTGTGGTACAGAACATGGCGGTACATAACATGGTCATATAGAATATGGTAGTACAGAACATGGTGGTACAGAACATAGTGATACAGAACATGGGGATACAGAACATGGTCATATAGAATATGGTGGTACAGAACATGGTGGTACAGAACATGGTGGTACATAACATGGTGATACAGAACATGGTGGTACAAAACATGGTGATATAGAACATGGCCATATAGAATTTTGCGGTACAGAACATAGTGGTACAGAACATGGTGGTACAGAAGATGGCGATATAGAACATGGCGATATAGAATTTGGTGGTACAGAACATAGCAATACAGAACATATCAATACAGAACATTGCTGTACAGAACATGGTGGTAGAGAACAGCAATACAGAACATGGCGGTACAGAGCATGGCGGTACAGAACATGGCGGTACAGAACATGGCGGTACAGAACATGGTGATACAGAACAGCAATACAGAACATGGTGATACAGAACATAGCGGTACAGAGCATGGTGGTACAGAACATGGTGGTAGAAAACAGCGATACAGAGCATGGCGGTACAGAACATGGCAGTACAGAACATGGCTGTACAAAACATGGCGGTACAGAACAGCGATACAGAACATGGGGGTACAGAACATGGTGAAACAGAACAGCAATACAGAACATGGTGATACAGAACATAGCGGTACAGAGCATGGTGGTAGAGAACATAGTGGTACAGAACATGTCGGTACAGAACATGGTGATACAGAACAGCGATACAGAACACAGCGGTACAGAGCATGGTTGCACAGAACATAGTGGTACAGAACATGTCGGTACAGAACATGGCGGTACAGAACATGGCGGTACAGAACAGCGGTACAGATCATGGCGGTACAGAACATGGTCATACAGAACATGTCGGTACAGAACATGGTCATACAGAACATAGCGATACAGAACATGGCGGTACAGAAGATGGTGGTACAGAAGATGGCGATATAGAATATGGTGGTACAGAACATGGTGATACAGAAAATGTCGGTACAGAACATGGTGATACAGAACATAGCGATACAGAACATAGTGGTACAGAACATAGCGATATAGAACATGGCGGTGCAGAACATGGCGATATAGAACATGGCAGTACAGAACACGGTGGTGAAGAACATAGCAATACAGAACATGGCGATACAGAACATGGCGGTATAGAACATGGCAGTACAGAACATAGTGGTACAGAACATGGCGGTACAGAAGATGGCCATATAGAATATGGCAGTACAGAACATAGTGGTACAGAACATGGCGGTACAGAAGATGGCCATATAGAATATGGTGGTACAGAACATGGTGATACAGAACATGGCGGTACAGAACATGGTGATACAGAACATAGCGATACAGAACATGGCGATACAGAGCATGGCGGTACAGAACATAGCCATACAGAACATAGCGATACAGAACATAGTGATACAGAACGTATCAATACAGAACATGGCGGTACAGAGCATGGTGGTACAGAAAATGGCGGTACAGAGTATGGCGCTAAAGAACATGCGGGTACAGAACATGGTGATAAAGAACATAGCGATACAGAACATGGCGGTACAGAGCATTGTGGTACAGAACATAGCCATACAGAACATAGCAATACAGAACATAGTGATACAGAACATATCGATGCAGAACATGGCTGTACAGAGCATTGTGGTACAGAACATGGCGGTACAGAACATGGCGATTCAGAACATGGGGGTATAGAACGTGGCAGTACAGAACATAGCGATTGAGAACATAGCCATACAGAACATAACGATACAGAACATAGCGATACAGACCATGGCGATATAGACTATGGTGGTACAGAACATAGCCATACAGAACATGGCTGTACAGAACATAGCGATATAGAACATGGCGATATAGAATTTGGTGGTACAGAAGATAGCAATATAGAACATGGCGGTACAGAACATAGCGGTATAGAACATGGCGGTAGAGAACATGGCGGTACAGAACATGGTGATATAGAACATGGCGGTACAGAACATAGCGCTATAGAACATGGCGGTAGAGAACATGGCGGTAGAGAACATGGCGGTACAGAACATGGTGATATAGAACATGGCGGTACAGAACATAGCGATATAGAATATGGTGGTACAGAACATAGCAATATAGAACATGGCGATACAGAACATAGCGATATAGAATATGGTGGTATAGAACATAGGAATATAGAACATGGCGGTACAGAACATAGCGATATAGAACATGGCGGTACAGAACATAGTGATATAGAACATGGCGGTACAGAACATAGCCATACAGAATCTAACGATATAGAACATGATGGTACAGAACATGGCGATATAGAATATGGTGGTACAGAACATAGCAATATAGAAAATGTTGGTACAGAACATGGCGGTAGAAAACATGGCGATATAGAATATGGTGGTATAGAACATAGCAATATAGAACATAGCGGTACAGAACATAGCGATATAGAACATGGCGGTACAGAACATAGCGATATAGAACATGGCGATACAGAACATGCTGGCACAGAGCATTGTGGCACAGAGCATGATGGTACAGAGCATGGCTGTATAGAACATGCCGGTACAGAGCATGGAGGTACAGAACATGGCAGTACAGAACATAGCGATACATAACATGGCGTTACAGAACATAGCGATACAGAACATGGCGGTACAGGAAATGGCGATACAGAACATGGCGGTACAGAGCATGACTGTAAAGAACATGGCGGTACAGAACATGGCAGTACACAACATAGCGATACAGAACATAGTGGTACAGAACATAGCGATATAGAACATGGCGGTGCAGAACATGGCGATATAGAACATGGCAGTACAGAACACGGTGGTGAAGAACATAGCAATACAGAACATGGCGATACAGAACATGGCGGTATAGAACATGGCAGTACAGAACATAGTGGTACAGAACATGGCGGTACAGAAGATGGCCATATAGAATATGGCAGTACAGAACATAGTGGTACAGAACATGGCGGTACAGAAGATGGCCATATAGAATATGGTGGTACAGAACATGGTGATACAGAACATGGCGGTACAGAACATGGTGATACAGAACATAGCGATACAGAACATGGCGATACAGAGCATGGCGGTACAGAACATAGCCATACAGAACATAGCGATACAGAACATAGTGATACAGAACGTATCAATACAGAACATGGCGGTACAGAGCATGGTGGTACAGAAAATGGCGGTACAGAGTATGGCGCTAAAGAACATGCGGGTACAGAACATGGTGATAAAGAACATAGCGATACAGAACATGGCGGTACAGAGCATTGTGGTACAGAACATAGCCATACAGAACATAGCAATACAGAACATAGTGATACAGAACATATCGATGCAGAACATGGCTGTACAGAGCATTGTGGTACAGAACATGGCGGTACAGAACATGGCGATTCAGAACATGGGGGTATAGAACGTGGCAGTACAGAACATAGCGATTGAGAACATAGCCATACAGAACATAACGATACAGAACATAGCGATACAGACCATGGCGATATAGACTATGGTGGTACAGAACATAGCCATACAGAACATGGCTGTACAGAACATAGCGATATAGAACATGGCGATATAGAATTTGGTGGTACAGAAGATAGCAATATAGAACATGGCGGTACAGAACATAGCGGTATAGAACATGGCGGTAGAGAACATGGCGGTACAGAACATGGTGATATAGAACATGGCGGTACAGAACATAGCGCTATAGAACATGGCGGTAGAGAACATGGCGGTAGAGAACATGGCGGTACAGAACATGGTGATATAGAACATGGCGGTACAGAACATAGCGATATAGAATATGGTGGTACAGAACATAGCAATATAGAACATGGCGATACAGAACATAGCGATATAGAATATGGTGGTATAGAACATAGGAATATAGAACATGGCGGTACAGAACATAGCGATATAGAACATGGCGGTACAGAACATAGTGATATAGAACATGGCGGTACAGAACATAGCCATACAGAATCTAACGATATAGAACATGATGGTACAGAACATGGCGATATAGAATATGGTGGTACAGAACATAGCAATATAGAAAATGTTGGTACAGAACATGGCGGTAGAAAACATGGCGATATAGAATATGGTGGTATAGAACATAGCAATATAGAACATAGCGGTACAGAACATAGCGATATAGAACATGGCGGTACAGAACATAGCGATATAGAACATGGCGATACAGAACATGCTGGCACAGAGCATTGTGGCACAGAGCATGATGGTACAGAGCATGGCTGTATAGAACATGCCGGTACAGAGCATGGAGGTACAGAACATGGCAGTACAGAACATAGCGATACATAACATGGCGTTACAGAACATAGCGATACAGAACATGGCGGTACAGGAAATGGCGATACAGAACATGGCGGTACAGAGCATGACTGTAAAGAACATGGCGGTACAGAACATGGCAGTACACAACATAGCGATACAGAACATAGTGGTACAGAACATAGCGATATAGAACATGGCGGTGCAGAACATGGCGATATAGAACATGGCAGTACAGAACACGGTGGTGAAGAACATAGCAATACAGAACATGGCGATACAGAACATGGCGGTATAGAACATGGCAGTACAGAACATAGTGGTACAGAACATGGCGGTACAGAAGATGGCCATATAGAATATGGCAGTACAGAACATAGTGGTACAGAACATGGCGGTACAGAAGATGGCCATATAGAATATGGTGGTACAGAACATGGTGATACAGAACATGGCGGTACAGAACATGGTGATACAGAACATAGCGATACAGAACATGGCGATACAGAGCATGGCGGTACAGAACATAGCCATACAGAACATAGCGATACAGAACATAGTGATACAGAACGTATCAATACAGAACATGGCGGTACAGAGCATGGTGGTACAGAAAATGGCGGTACAGAGTATGGCGCTAAAGAACATGCGGGTACAGAACATGGTGATAAAGAACATAGCGATACAGAACATGGCGGTACAGAGCATTGTGGTACAGAACATAGCCATACAGAACATAGCAATACAGAACATAGTGATACAGAACATATCGATGCAGAACATGGCTGTACAGAGCATTGTGGTACAGAACATGGCGGTACAGAACATGGCGATTCAGAACATGGGGGTATAGAACGTGGCAGTACAGAACATAGCGATTGAGAACATAGCCATACAGAACATAACGATACAGAACATAGCGATACAGACCATGGCGATATAGACTATGGTGGTACAGAACATAGCCATACAGAACATGGCTGTACAGAACATAGCGATATAGAACATGGCGATATAGAATTTGGTGGTACAGAAGATAGCAATATAGAACATGGCGGTACAGAACATAGCGGTATAGAACATGGCGGTAGAGAACATGGCGGTACAGAACATGGTGATATAGAACATGGCGGTACAGAACATAGCGCTATAGAACATGGCGGTAGAGAACATGGCGGTAGAGAACATGGCGGTACAGAACATGGTGATATAGAACATGGCGGTACAGAACATAGCGATATAGAATATGGTGGTACAGAACATAGCAATATAGAACATGGCGATACAGAACATAGCGATATAGAATATGGTGGTATAGAACATAGGAATATAGAACATGGCGGTACAGAACATAGCGATATAGAACATGGCGGTACAGAACATAGTGATAAAGAACATGGCGGTACAGAACATAGCCATACAGAATCTAACGATATAGAACATGATGGTACAGAACATGGCGATATAGAATATGGTGGTACAGAACATAGCAATATAGAAAATGTTGGTACAGAACATGGCGGTAGAAAACATGGCGATATAGAATATGGTGGTATAGAACATAGCAATATAGAACATAGCGGTACAGAACATAGCGATATAGAACATGGCGGTACAGAACATAGCGATATAGAACATGGCGATACAGAACATGCTGGCACAGAGCATTGTGGCACAGAGCATGATGGTACAGAGCATGGCTGTATAGAACATGCCGGTACAGAGCATGGAGGTACAGAACATGGCAGTACAGAACATAGCGATACATAACATGGCGTTACAGAACATAGCGATACAGAACATGGCGGTACAGGAAATGGCGATACAGAACATGGCGGTACAGAGCATGACTGTAAAGAACATGGCGGTACAGAACATGGCAGTACACAACATAGCGATATAGAACCTGGCGGTATAGAACATGGCGGTAGAGACCATAGTGATACAGAACATGGCGGAACAGAACATGGCGATTGAGAACATAGCCATACAGAACATAACGATACAGAACATAGCGATACAGACCATGGCGATATAGACTATGGTGGTACAGAACATAGCCATACAGAACATGGCTGTACAGAACATAGCGATATAGAACATGGCGATATAGAATTTGGTGGTACAGAAGATAGCAATATAGAACATGGCGGTACAGAACATAGCGGTATAGAACATGGCGGTAGAGAACATGGCGGTACAGAACATGGTGATATAGAACATGGCGGTACAGAACATAGCGCTATAGAACATGGCGGTAGAGAACATGGCGGTAGAGAACATGGCGGTACAGAACATGGTGATATAGAACATGGCGGTACAGAACATAGCGATATAGAATTTGGTGGTACAGAACATAGCAATATAGAACATGGCGATACAGAACATAGCGATATAGAATATGGTGGTATAGAACATAGGAATATAGAACATGGCGGTACAGAACATAGCGATATAGAACATGGCGGTACAGAACATAGTGATATAGAACATGGCGGTACAGAGCATAGCCATACAGAATCTAACGATATAGAACATGATGGTACAGAACATGGCGATATAGAATATGGTGGTACAGAACATAGCAATATAGAAAATGTTGGTACAGAACATGGCGGTAGAAAACATGGCGATATAGAATATGGTGGTATAGAACATAGCAATATAGAACATAGCGGTACAGAACATAGCGATATAGAACATGGCGGTACAGAACATAGCGATATAGAACATTGCGATACAGAACATGCTGGCACAGAGCATTGTGGCACAGAGCATGATGGTACAGAGCATGGCTGTATAGAACATGCCGGTACAGAGCATGGAGGTACAGAACATGGCAGTACAGAACATAGCGATACATAACATGGCGTTACAGAACATAGCGATACAGAACATGGCGGTACAGGAAATGGCGATACAGAACATGGCGGTACAGAGCATGACTGTAAAGAACATGGCGGTACAGAACATGGCAGTACACAACATAGCGATATAGAACCTGGCGGTATAGAACAAGGCGGTAGAGACCATAGTGATACAGAACATGGCGGAACAGAACATGGCGATTTAGAACATGGCTGTACCTAACATGGCGACACAGAACATGGCTGTACATAACATGGCGATACAGAACATGGCGATACAGAGCATGGTGGTACAGAACATGGCGGTACAGAACATAGCGATAGTGAACATGGCGGTACAGAGCATGGACATACAGAACATAGCGATATAGAATATGGTGGTACAGAACATAGCGATATAGAACATGGCGGTACAGAACATGGTGGAACAGAACATAGCGATACAGAACATAGTGGTATAGAACATGGCGGTACAGAGCATGGTGCTACAGAACATGGTGGTAGAGAACATAGCTATACAGAACATGGCGTTACAGAACATGGCGATTTAGAACATGGCGGTACAGAACATGGCGATACAGAACATGGCGGTACAGAGCATAGCGATACAGAACATGGTGATACAGAACATAGCGATATAGAACATGGCAGTACACAGCATAGCGATATAGAACATGGCAGTAGAGAACATGGCGGTACAGAACATGGCAGTACAGAACATGGCGGTACAGAACATGGTGATAGAGAACATAGCGATATAGAACATGGCTGTACATAACATGGCGGTACAGAACATAGTGATACAAAACATGGCGATACAGAACATGGTGATATAGAACATGGCGGTACAGGACATGGCGATACAGAACATGGCAGTACAGAACATGGCGATACAGAACACGGCGGTACAGAACACGGCGGTACAGAACATGGCGATGCAGAACATAGTGGTACAGAACATAGCGAGATAGAACATGGCGGTGCAGAACATGGCGATATAGAACACGGTGGTGCAGAACATAGCAATACAGAACATGGCAATACAGAACATGGCGATATAGAACATGGCAGTACAGAACATAGCGATACAGAACATGGCGGTACAGAACACGGTGGTGCAGAACATAGCAATACAGAACATGGCGATACAGAATATGGCGGTATAGAACATGGCAGTACAGAACACAGCGATACAGAACATGGTGGTACAGAACATGGCAATATAGAACATAGCGATACAGAACATGGCGGTACAGTACATAGCAATATAGAACATAGCGATACAGAACATGGCAATATAGAACATAGCGATACAGAACATGGCGGTAGGTACATAGCTATAGAGAACATAGCGATTTAGAACATAGCGATACATAACATGGCGATACAGAACATGGCGATACAGAGCATGGTGGTACAGAACATGGCAGTACAGAACATAGCGATACAGAACATGGCGATACAGAACATGGCGATATAGAACATAGCGATACAGAACATAGCGATACAGAACACGGCGGTACAGAACATGGTGGTACAGAACATGGCAGTACAGAACATAGCGATATAGAACATGGCGATACAGAGCATGGCGGTACAGAACATGGCGGTACAGAACATAGCGATACAGAACCTGGCGATATAGAACATCGTGGTACAGAACACGGTGGTACAGAACATAGCAATACAGAACATGGCGATACAGAACATGGCAGTATAGAACATGGCAGTACAGAACATAGCGATACAGAACATGGCGGTACAGAACATGGTGGTACAGAACATGGTGGTACAGAGCATGATGGTAAAGAGCACATGAACAGCCGAACCGTGGAAATCCGGGTAGAAAACAGGTCTTCAGCAACCCATGCTTGTCAAAGATTGGTTGATGCATGTCATCGTATCCCTACTGCGTGGATCGATCGATGCGCATGTGGCCAATCACTGGATTGTCTGGTCCAGATTCGATTGTGTGAGTACCACCGTCATATAAATGTAGGTGGAGTATTGATGAGTTCAGCGTTAAACAAACAAACCAACAAACAAACATACAAAAACACCTTGTCTCAATGATCTCGGTTTGGTGTCACGAGAACGATATTTTACTGACGTTTCATTGAATCTAAGTGCCAGGATTGCTGTTATCGATGTCCCTGTAGGATGCCCTCATTCCGGAGCAATATCATTAGCCGAACCGGACATACAAACGGAATATTGCTCACAGTGGTGTAAAAGCATACTTACTCACTAACTCCTACCAATTCAACTAACTCGTTTTCCCGGATATTTGCTAATCCCTGCAGTAATCTAACGCTGACACACGTCCATTTCCTAACTCTGACGGCATGTGATCCATTCATGTTTAATGGCAGCACTAGTACAGGGAGGTGTTAATGAGCCGTGCTACATCACTTATCACACGTCACGAGGCACACCATGCCGTCTCATGTCATCAGGGTGATGACGGGCACGTATACGCACGCCCCCTGGCCCCCTCTCTCCGTACTGAGAATTGTGAGTTAAACGCCTCCTGGCAATGACGGAACTTCTTTTCCCTCCTGTATATTACCATGATGATAGAACAACCTGTGTTTCGCCAGCGGGATTCGAACCCGCGAATTCTGACGGAGGGCTAACGAATGTAGTCTTCTGGCACAGCTCCAAGCCCAGCAGATAATCTGTGTGGTAAAGGGGCTGCTTGTGAGTTGTTTAGTTTGTTACACTTTTCTTGATGAGGACTGAGACTTTTCATAACAGGCACATCAGCATGGGTAAATATGTCATCGATAGATATGCTCGAGTTGGTCCATCATGAATTGTGTACTTGCCCCGGGACATGAATTTCACAACCCGCGGCACTAAAGAGCGAAATGGACGTGTCAGACACAGGGAACTTGGTTTTAACGATGACACATCTGGTGAATGTGCTCTAACCTTGTGCTCTAACCTCGTGCTCTAACCCCGTGCTCTAGCCACGTTCTCTAATCACGTGCTCTAACTAGTGCTGTAACCTGTGCTGTAACCACGTGCTCAAACCACGTACTCTAACCCCGTGCTCCAACCTCGTGCACTTACCACATGCTCTAACCCCATCCTCTAGCCTCGTGCTCTGAACCCGTGCTCAAACCCCCTGCTCTAACCTCGTTCTCTAACCTCGTGCTCTAACCATGTGCTCTAACCTCGTGCTCTAAGCCCGTGCTCTAGCCACGTTCTCTAACCACGTGCTCTAACCAGTGCTGTAACCTGTGCTGTAACCACGTGCTCAAACCACGTGCTCTAACCAGTGCTCAAACCACATGCTCAAACCACGTGCTCTAACCAGTGCTCAAACCACATGCTCAAACCGTGTGCTCTAACTAGCGCTCTAGTGGGGTAGCCCTGTAGGGTAACCAAGCTGGGTAAACAAGTGGTGTAGCCAAGTAGGGTAACCAAGTGAGGTAGCCAAGTGGGATAAAAAAGTACGGTAACCAAGTGAGGTAGCCAATTTAGGTAGCCAAGTGGGGTAACCGAGTGGGGTAACCAAGTGGAGTAACCAAGCGGGGTAACCAAGCGGGGTAGCCAAATGGGGTAACCAAGCGGGGTAACCAAGCAGGGTAGCCAAATGGGGTAACCAAGCGGGGTAACCAAGTTGAGTAACACAGTAGGGTAACCAAGCGGGGTAGCCAAGTGGGGTAACCAAGCGGGGTAACACAGTAGGGTAACCAAGTGTGGTAGCCAAGTGGGATAACACAGTAGGGTAACCAAGCGGGGTAACCAAGCGGGGTAGCCAAATGGGGTAACCAAGTGTGGTAGCCAAGTGGGATAACCAAGTGGAGTAACCAAGTGGGGTAGCGAAGTGGGGTAACCAAGTGGGGTAGCGAAGTGGGGTAACCAAGTGGAGTAACCAAGTGGGGTAGCGAAGTGGGGTAACCAAGTGGGGTAGCGAAGTGGGGTAACCAAGTGGAGTAACCAAGTGAGGTAGCCAAGCGGGATAAAAAAGTACGGTAACTAAGTGAGGTAGCCAAGTAGGGTAACTAAGTGAGGTAGCCAAGTAGGGTAACTAAGTGAGGTAGCCAATTTAGGTAGCCAAGTGGGGTAACCGACTGGGGTAACCAAGTGGAGTAACCAAGCGGGGTAACCAAGCGGGGTAGCCAAATGGGGTAACCAAGCGGGGTAACCAAGTTGAGTAACACAGTAGGGTAACCAAGCGGGGTAGCCAAGTGGGGTAACCAAGCGGGGTAACACAGTAGGGTAACCAAGTGTGGTAGCCAAGTGGGATAACACAGTAGGGTAACCAAGCGGGGTAACCAAGCGGGGTAGCCAACTTGGGTAACCAAGTGTGGTAGCCAAGTGGGATAACACAGTAGGGTAACCAAGCGGGGTAGCCAAATGGGGTAACCAAGTGTGGTAGCGAAGTGGGATAACCAAGTGGAGTAACCAAGTGGGGTAGCGAAGTGGGATAACCAAGTGTGGTAGCGAAGTGGGGTAGCCAAGTGGAGTAACCAAGTGGGGTAGCCAAGTAGGGTAACTAAGTGAGGTAGCCAAGTGGGATAAAAAAGTACGGTAACAAAGTAAGGTAGCCAAGTGGGGCAAAGGGGGGAACCAAGTGGGGTAACTAAGTAGGGTAACCAAGCGGGGTAGCCAAATGGGGTAACCAAGTGTGGTAGCCAAGTTGGATAACACAGTAGGGTATCCAAGCGGGGTAGCCAAATGGGGTAACCAAGCGTGGTAGCCAAGTGGGATAACACAGTAGGGTAACCGAGTGGGGTAACCAAGTAGGGTAACCGGGCGGGGTAACCAAGTGGGATAACAAAGTAGGGTAGCCAGTGGGGTAACCAAGTTCTGTAACCAAGCGCGGTCACGAAGTGGAGTAACCAAGTGGGGTAACTATGTGGAGTAACCAAGTGGGGTAACCAGTGGGGTAACCATGTGGCGTTACCAAGATGGGTAACCAACTTGAGTAACCATGTAGGATAAGCTGTTGGGTAACCAAGTGGGGTAACCAAGCGGGCTAACCAAGCGGGGTAACCAAGTGGAGTAACCAAGTTGAGTAACCATGTAGGATAAGCAGTTGGGTAACCAAGTGGGGTAACTAAGCGGGGTAACCAAGCGGGGTAACCAAGTGGAGTAACCAAGTGGAGTAACCAAGTACGGTAACCAGTGGGGTAACCAAGTAGGGTAATCAGTGGGGTAACCAAGTAGGGTAACCATGTGTTGCGGCACACGTGCAGACCACGTGATGAGTGAACGTCTTCAACACGAGGCAGACCCACTGCCCCAATATCATGAGGCATATTCGAGGTGCAGATTTTTGGAGGTCGTGACGTAGAAGGCACCGTAGTCGTGACAGACTAATGCTTAATCTCTGAAAATATATATTCTGAACAAAACAACGCAATCTAAATTGAAAAAGTCGGAGATTCAGATGATGGCAAATCTATGTTTACTTTATTTAGGGCTCTGACAATACAGTCATTCAGTTCATGGACTGGTCCATTCGCTTACTGACACAGAGAGGCAGACAGCACTCAGTGTTATTGTACTATTCAAAAAAAAAGAAAACTATAAATGCATAAATCGTTTTGTATGGTTGAAATTTAATTTTGTTTCTTAAGTAATCAATAAGGTTCATTACATGTTCGAGTAAACATGCAGGTTGCCCGAAACGTTATGTTGTGACGTCGCGACGGATCAATTCACCAAAACGCAACTGCAATGCCAAATACGTGCAGCATGTCAGTTTTCTGAACTGTCGTGACTATTCCTCTGTCGGCAAGATTCAAAAGGCAAGGACGACGACTGCTGACACACACATCAAAAAATCAGAAAACGAGCCGTTAAAATGCCACGTCTATCAGAAGCACAACACAACAACGCCATCGGGCGACTGCAAGCGGGTGAAACACAACAGCATGTGGCGCAGGTAATGGGTGTGGCCAGATTGACCATCTCTAACTTGTGAAGACGTTACAACTCCAACGGCAACGTTCGTGACAGGCCAAGGTCAGGACGACCTCCCGTTACAACGCCTGGCTAAGATCGCTACATCGGGTACGACACATTCGGGACCGTTTCATCACAGCGACGCCAACAGCCTCACAAGTACCGGGACTACGTCGAATATCGGATCAGAACGTCTGCAGTGATGTCGTCAGAGAGCCGCACGGCCTCAAGCAAGATGGACACGTGTTCAGTTCACAGACGAGTCCCGTTTTCTGCTGAGACGTGCTGATGAACGTGCCCGTGTGTACCGACGTCGTAACGAACGTTACGCTGAAAATTGCGTTCTGCAAGTGGATCGTTTTGGATGGGGAAGCGTCATGGTGGGGTGAGGCATTCATCACGGTGGCTGGACAGCACTTATGAGAGTGGATAGTGCTC